TGAGTCACCTGCGACAGTGTAGTCTGCAGCTCCTGCTGCAGTGGGTTGCCATGGGCTACCGTGTGTAGCCAGCAGCCAGCGTGAGCGGCCAGCAGCTGCTGTGAGCAGCCATCCAGAAGCCGGCGACTGATCTGCCTCACCTGGGAAGAGTGCAATGATGGTGCCAACTTGGGCCAGTGACAACGTCCTCCACAACTAGACTGAAGAACAAAAGGATAGCAATTTATCTGTTCCCCTTCCCCCAATTCCCCAATAAAATTTTTTAAAAATAAATAAATAAAAGTCGTCTAAGCCGTGTCAGCTCAGCTGTGAGTGTCAACAGCCCTTTTACACAAAGCTCTGAGACGGTCTTTTTGTTGAAAGCAAAAACTCTGGCCTGCAGCTTATAGCAGGGTCTACAGACAAGCTTCAGAGGTATTGTAGATGGCAATGACTTCAAATGGCTGTGGTTAATTTACTACTGATAATTTTCCAGTGTGAAAGGTCTGACATGGGTTCATAATAAGCATGAAACTGACAAGGACATTTGGTTGTTGCTGGCATGCAAAACAAAGATAATCAAACCATTCCAAAAAGAATAAAATTTGGACAAAATGTCTCTAAAGATAATGATTAAGTCTATTTTCAAAGAAATCAGTAAATATTACTCCTGATTCATAAATATGGATGAACAGAATTTACACAGAGGGAAAAGCCTTGAGCTATAACATAATAATCCTGAGACATAATTTCTTTTATACCAAGAACATCAAGAGGTTCAGTAAGCCTGAAGTTGAGCTCTACAGATCTCTGTTCCATGATGAATAAGTCTGATATGAATCCCAGTGGCCTAGATCAGGCTAGATTCAAATTAATGAAGGAAGGCTGCAGCAAGTAAACATTTTATATAATATCTGAGATCACGACTGACACACTATACGCTATCTGCCAATATCATCAGAAAGAGTACTGACTGGACTCGGATGAAAGTAGGAAAACTGGACAGAGCTACTGCATAATTGTTCTAGTTCTTAAAAGAACTAGTTCATAAGAGTGTTTTCCTTGAGGGTAAAAACATACTATGGAGAGCAGGGACATTGTCCCAAGGGCTTCCTATGAAGCCTACAATTTAATAATATTTATTT